GAGTGTGCAGACTCGCAGAGCTTCGTCATTCTGAACACGTTCCGTAAACATGGCTCCCATCTCATCACAATCTATTGCGGGAAACCCGAGACATAAATAGGCTTTGTACTCATCAGGAATAGCGACCAAGGACACGTAAAAGATGCTGAGGTAGTACCCGTATGAAACAGTTGCCACGCAAAACCGCCCACTGATCTGCACGCTCCTGATGATACAAAGCTGGCTTTGGCAGCTCCCAGACTGCAGCACACGGAGCGATGCGGTCCTGAAATGAGGTGGTGGAAGCTAAAGGAGTGAGAGGCAGCTGTGATTTCTCGTACTCAACTACCTCAAGTCACAACTGTTGAGGAAACCAAGAACGAAGCCGTTAATGCTATAATCCAAGCCGCCCGCTCCAAACTCGGCACAAAGAAGGCCCAGAAGTATTGACAATGAGGCCTGGCTCTCAAAGCAAAGGTCCGGGAGAAGAAGAGGCTGTATCACCTGTTTCCCGAGCTTAAGTCGGCTGACAAACGGCGGCAGGACCGGAGCGGGGAATGCGGCGTAGAAGTGCTGTGAGGCTCACTTCGATGATATCAGCATAAAGCTGGAGACGCGCGACGGTGAGCGGTACCTGTAGGGAATGCCAAATCTTGCTATGGCCAAGCCGAAGAAATTGAGAAGTTTTTTGGCATAAATGACGAGAATGGCCATCTCCCTGACGGACCGGAAAAGTAATGCAACGTCTGCGCCGCACCAACATATGTTCCCGTTCAGAATATCACCTTACAGGAAATAGAGGCTGCACTAAGGAAGATGAAGGCCAGTAAAGCAACAGGTCTCGACGACTTGGCAGCCGTGGAAGTCACAACGCTGTTTTCTGCGTATGGTTGGCGAAGCTCTTCAACCAGATCGTCCAGAAGAAGGTTCCCAAGGACTGGCAGCAGAGCGCAACGGTCCCGCTTCGGAAGAAGGGCAGCCTGGCAGACTGCTCCAAATACCATCCAATGCGCCTTCTCTCGCACACTGTGAAAATCTTTGATAGGCTTGTTGATGACCGTGCATCGTCGGTGTTCTCCATCAGTCAGTGTGGGTTCGCCTCGGGCTGCATCGACGCCGTACGTGCCGCTCGCCTTCTGCTGGGGAAACATCGTAAGCAGCGAAAGCGCGTGCATGCAGCCTTCTTAGACTTGGAGAAGACGTTCTATCGCGTACCGCGTGACGTTATATCGTATGCTTCAAGACAGCACGGCGTGCCCGAAGAGCTAATTGAGTGGGTGCGTTTCTCAAGCCGAGGGAGTCAAGTGCGTTCACCAGCGGGCGTTTCAACGGAGTTCCCCATCACCGCCGAAGTACATCGAGGCTCTGCACTCTCCTCACTCGTTTCGTTGTCGCCATGGATGCCATCTCATGGCATCTCCAGAAAGAAGTGCCTTGGACGGTGCTTTACGCTGATGATGTGCTTATGCTTGTCTGTGAAGATAAGAACGCATTGCAACAGCTGATGCAAGCTTGGGCTGATCGCCTGGCGAAGTTTGGACTCAGGTTGAACGTCAATAGGCTGAGTACCTGGCAACCAACCCCAGAGAAGCCGACTTCATCAAGATCGATGACACGGTGTTCAAGCGCACTAAAGCGTTCAAGTATCCCATTCGGCAATTGCGTCCTCAGAAGTGAGCGGAGTGCGACATGGTCTAAATGGTGATCCTTCGTGACAAGAAAATGCCAGAGCGTTTCAAGCCAAAATCGATGGGACTGTCGTCCTACGATCCGCTATACGGTGCAGATGCTGGCCCGCGATCGCAGAAGTTGAAGCTCGCCTCGGTGTAATAGAGATAAAAAGTTGTTCTGGGTGGCGGGCTTCAAGCGATCGGACCGAATTTTAATGATTTTGCGCAAGAAGTATGGTATAGTCCCCATTAGCAGACAACATGCGAGAAACATGCGCCTCACATGGTACGGATGGGTACTTACCCAAAGGCTGAATCGTCCGTAGAACTGGTTTCCAGCGTGAAGTGCTTGGAAAGCGGCCAAAGGGGCGTCTCAAACAGGCCCTTTGGCCGCTTTCCTGCTGGCCTGAAACGCTGCATACCGACTTGAAAATAGCCGACATTCACCCTGATCAGATTCAACCGGGAGAAGTGGCGTAGTTATATCAAAAGAGCAGACCCTGCCATCAAGCGGCACAAACTCTGAGGAAGAAGATAAAGAACTGTACATCCAGTAGTAAGTACTGGTACTGAAGATCAATAATTCCTCAATTCCATGAAAGTTCAAGAAAGGGAAAATACTTACGTAAAAAAAAACCGTGTCAAAATTAGGATTGCGAAATTAGTGTGCACACACACACACACACACACACACACACACACACACATACACACACATACACACCTCACATCTCACAACCTCACACTTAATTTGTCTGACATACTCTCTCTGCTAGAGTTGCAGATCTCACAGTCAATTTGAAGGTCATCCGAAAAGATCACCACATACATATAATTCGCTTAGTCTGTTGTTTGGAAGTTTGTTCACCCCATATATATAATTCGCTTCGTCTGTTTGTTTGTAAGTTTGTTTGTAAGTTTGTTTGTAAGTTTGTTTGTTTGTTTGTTTGTTTGTAAGTTTGTTTGTCTGTCCGGAAATTCGGTTCGACCTGAAGAACGACTTGGAGAGGTCGGGTCAAGGTGGGGATGGGTAGAGCATGGGACAAGAAATAAAAAGCACACTTGACCTATGCGAAGCCCCGCCCACAGTGGCGGGGCACTCGCTGAAATTTTGGGGTTCCGCAGAAAAATGTTCATAATTCGCTTCCGGAGCAGCCTAAGATGGGGAAAAAAGGGAATAAGGTTAGTAAGGAGTCGCCAGACTAACTGTGGCAGACACATCCAAAATGGGCGGGGCGTACTCAAGGTGGGCGGTGCTTCGCATAAAACTCAGTAAACTCGGTTCGCGAGAGTGTTCAGAAGCCGCAAAAAGCTCAGTGCAGAATGTAAATATCTGGCGAGTATTGGGCACGCTCAAAATGTGTTGAGATCCGCCCACAGCGGAGCTTGCCCTAAACCGCAGGATACTCATTTTAAAAGTTTGTAGCTCGGTTCCAGAGCACTGCAAAGACCGAAAAACGTGCGTCAAGGTTGGCAAAGGTTCGCCGGTGAGGACTGTGGGGCGCAAACATTGTGGGCGGGGCCTGCTCCGGTTTGGGCGGAGTCAGACGAAAAATCTGTAAAATAGTTTCAGAGCACTCCAGACACGGGAAAAAAGTGGATTAAGGTCAGCAGAGGGTTGCCGATTGAGAAATGTGGGGTATACATATTGTGGGCGGGGCCAGCCCGAGGTGGGCGGAGCCAGACAAAAGATCTGCAGAAACGGTCCCAGAGCACTCCGAAGACCGGGAAAAAGTGGATTAAGGTCAGCAGAGGGTCGCCAGTGAGGACCGTGGGGCAAAAACATTGTGGGCGGAGCCTGCTCCGAGGTGGGCGGAGCCAGAAAAGGTCTGTAAAACGGTTCCAGAGCACTCCGAAGACCGGAATAAAGTGAATTCAGGTCAGCAAGGGGTCGCCGATTGAGAAATGGGGTATACATATTGTGGGCGGGGCCAGCCCGAGGTGGGCGGAGCCAGACGAAAATTCTCTAAAACTGTCCCAGAGCACTTCAAAGACCGGAAAAAACGTGGATTAAGGTCAGCAGAGGGTCGCCGGTGAGGACTGTGGGGCACAAAAATTGGGGGCGGAGCCTGTTTCGAGGTGGGCTTAGCCACACAAAAATTCTGCAGAACGGTTCCAGAACACTTCAGACACCGGAAAAAAAGTGGATTAAGGTCAGCAGAGGGTCGCCGGTGAAGTGTGGGGCACAAAAATTGTGGGCGGGGTCTGCTCTGAGGTGGGCGGAGTCAGACGAAGAATCTGTAAAATAGCTCAAGAGTACTTCACCGGAGAAAAGTGGAGTACAGAACAAAAGGCGGATATCAGTTGAGTCTAGAAATATGTGAAAGAAAGGTACGCGCGGCGAAGCCGCGCCCGCCCGGCGCAGCCGGGCCGTATCAGAAGGAAGCCGCGCCGGCGAGGCGACTGGTATTTGTATAACCGGTAACCGGATGAGAACAACATGCAGCTCATCTCACTAGTACTTGTCGTTGCTCGAGTATGTCTCAAAAAATGAAGCTGTTAAGAGGTCAGCGCAGCAATTAAGTGAGGTCATGCCGCAGGCAGGCCCCAAGAGAAGCTACAGTACAACTGCCTTACCGTCCAATGCTCCAACTAAAGATGCTCACACATCGCACGATGAACGGTCTCATGAAGTACTGGTTTGGGTTATCAGTTCTGCGAGGACCCTATGCTTTACTCTCCTCTACTTTATTTGTATCGGTAATGCGATAAACAGTGAAAAACAAGATATGCTCAAGGAGAGGAACACAGATTTCCGATAACTGCATCAAGAAACAGGGGGAAGTGGTTTGGGGTGCGACAGGGGGTGGAGGAGGGGGAGATTTTTGCAACTCGGAAGGACAGTGGCCGCCCAACACTGAAGCTCCTGTTTCCTTCAGTAGTTTCGAAAGCATTCTTCATGCTACTCTGCTCCGCGTGATTATACCTGCATCCATGAGTTTTTCAAAAAAAGTAAAGTAGACGTAGTAGTGATAGCCATGGAAAAATCACTTGTGTCGAAGTGTTGAACTTAGATACGAAATCTAATGCGCACACTCATTTCCTGGTTGTAGTTCGAAGAAAGATCCACTAGAATTACTTTAAACAAGTGTTTTGACGCCACCATGTGCTTGTAACTAGAGTTTTTGCCACAATTTTTTTTCGGTTTTTGTGATGTTCATGCTCAAAGTGGTCGAAATAACTAGTGACTCCAAGCTCAGTGGAGAGTCGTTCGACGAGCATTCTCCTATTATATTCTACCATGGTAATATTCGTGCTCAAAACTTATAATTACAGAATCCTTTGTCAGAATGTTGGGCACATGCTGCCGTAGGGAGAATTTCAGCGAAGGAAAGCCAGGAACTAATACCTTGGGTGCAGCCATAGGATATTCTTCAGGTAGAAACAGCTCCAATTTGAACACACCGCCCGCAAAAGGAGAATCCTGAGGACCGGCAATCATAACGTGGAAGTATCTAAACATCCCGAATCTTCGAAGATTTTTATTATCTGACTCGTAAAACTACCGTGCATTGTTGTCGTCCGGACTTGCAGAGATGCCCGGCACTGGATCAGCCATCAGCCTTTGCGTTTCTTTGATAATTCGTCGCGGCAAAGCTCCAGCCATTTGTATGACAGCCACTATTCAGTACAGCTGAACGCGGATAAGGTAACTGCGACTAATATGTTACATCTTTATGAAAACATGCACTTTTTCGTTTAGGGTTAATGTCACCAACACGTAAGAAAGGTCTGCACCATTGCTCGCAACCTTTTTTCAGCAGCACTTCCTCTCAGAGAAGAAAACTAACTAGGGAAGGTCGTCAGGTCGAAGTGGCCATTTGTGATGAGATGTAGCTCACTAGACGTGGTTTTGGACGCTGATCTCGAATCTGCCTTCGAAATTTGCAAAGCGATTCTCTGAACGGAATTATGAAGGTTTGTTAGAATTAAATGAAAGAAGACGGAGTCGAGCGCGGCTGCCAGCCATTCGCATGAATTGCCGGGAAGCACCACCGCCATAAGGATCGGCTTGGTGTAGTGGTAACAGTCTTGGTTCGCGGGCATGCGATGAAGAGTTCTAATTCGTGAGAGGGGGTTTCTTTTGCATTTTGTGGGGAATGTTCCTTTCGAGTCTAGAAAACCCTCAAATGCCAAATGGGTGCCATATTCGTGTTCAGGGAGCAAAACTACCCTTGGGGACAGGTTTCTAGCCAGATGTGAGGTTTTGACCTAACTTTGAAAAGTGCGGTAGCAGTTGATCGAATGATGGTCACCAATAGTTCCAGGGCCAGTCTCTTGTCGATTGCTTGTCTTTGGACGGAATTTGCTTTTAGATACCAGGAAAACTGGAGCAGTAACAAAATGAATGCGTAAGAAGTGGCAAGACAAGGCTTCCATGCATGGTTCACTTATGGAAGTCAGGTCAAAATGCCAGATTTGGCTAGAAGCTTGTGTATAAAGGTATTCTGATCCGCTGAACACGAATATGGACACTCGCTGAGCGTGCAAATGCCTGTATCGCGCGCGACGGACACCTGTACGCCCCATACTTTCCCTGCACTACAAGGCTTATACAAGGAGCAATATATGGACGCAAACTTTTCTTCAGGCATGTTCGGGTGACCATTGAAGCAGTTTAGACGG